GTTTTAATCTTCATCAATGCTATTAAAGATGAATTAAATTTCAAAGTCTTCTAATTCAGTATCAATTGCTTTTAATAATTCTTTCAAAATATCTTGTAGAATTATGCCGTCTTAATTTTAAGATAATTCTTCAAAAATTTAATTAATACTAATTTATTTAGCACCCAACATTTCTCGTAAACTATTTGCAATATAAAGTTCCTTTTACTATTATTTAATAGAAATGAGAATATACTTCACAAATTTATTATAAATTTGGGGTTTATTAAAATTAAGCACTAAATAAAGGATGACCAAATATGTCATACCAACTATATCGTTCATCTATTATAATAAATATACTTATATATTTACTCTCTTAGATAACTAAACATTTAGAAATTAAATCTTTGACATTATCTGAAACTTAATTAATTTGATCATAAAATTTTAATGGTTATGTATTTATATTTTTTACTAATTAAGGAATAGAAGATGCAACCCATGGGGCTATAATTATTATATATGACAAATACTTCTTCCATAAAGGATTTCATAAAATAAGAAACCAAATGACCAAACATCACATTTTGTCGAATATTTTTCATTCTTTAAAATTTATGGACTCATATATAATGGTGTACCTACTTAAGAATAAAATAATTGTTATGCAAAATTATCTACAATTTTAGCAAATCCAAAATCTACTAAAATATATAAAATAAAAGACCAGCAATTTTATATGTGTTTTAATGAATTAATATATTAGCTGGTTTTAAATCTCGATGAATGATTCCAAATTTTATCAACTCTATAAAGCCTTATAGAATTTCAGTCATTATTTTCAATGCCAATTTTTCATTTACAAATGAATATTATTTTAAGTATCTATATGATTTTATAATAATAAAGACTTAGCTAAATCTCCAGATTCGCAAATTTCTTGAATTATGTAATAATTATTTGATGTTTCTAAGACATCAATTAATTATACAATATTTTTATTGTTCAATTTTTTCATTATCTTAATTTCACTCATTACTCCATTATTAGCATTTTGATCTCTCAATAATTTATCTTTCGATATCATTTTCAACGCTACATATTTACAATTTTTGAGGTCCATTGCTTTGAAAACTGTTCCAAATGATCCTGATCCTAATACATCCTTTGTATTAAATGAATAATGATCAATATTTTTTTAGGTCATTTGTATTGTAAAAGTATTTTTATTTATTTATTATAGATTTATATTACTATCTTGAATAAAATTTTATGAACTATCAATGTTTTGGTGGCCAAACAAAATTAAGAACTCTTCCAATATAATCATAAAGTGTAAATGTAATAGCTACATCTAAAACAACTCTTCCTAATCTTGGTACAGTTCCTAAAAACCTAGAAATAAATAATTTACCTTTGTAAAATCCTCTAATTCCTTCATGTTGATATGTTTATTTGCAACAATCTAAAACACCATTATATTAATGAGCCTTAAGACCTTACATTTATGTTTTAATCACATCAACTGGAGTATTACACATAACAGATGCAGCACCAGCAATACCTCCTGATAATAATAGGGTAACTGGTTCAGGTAAAAATGTAAATTTTTTCTATTGAATAATAAATTTGCAAAATACTTATATAAATTTCTTAGTATCCTCAAACACAACAAATCTGATACCTTAATTACTGCCTTATTTTACAATAGTTGGAATTAATCCTTTATAAATACCTGATAAACCCATTTCATTTACAATTGATCCTATTCCATGAATCATTCCTCTATATTTTGGAGTTTTTGATAATTTATCATGTATCAATTTTACCTAATCTTTAAAACAAATTTTCATACCTTTAAAGTTTCAGTAGGTGTTACAACAACAATAGCTTCAAATACACCAGCACCCAATCCTGCACAGAAAGTTTAGAATCTACTTTTTCTGTCAGTGAATACATTGTTCTTAAGCCATTCATTGGCACCAAATCTGCAAGCCACTTTGGGAATAGAAAATGTGACCAAAGGTGTTAAACCTCTATAAAATCCTTAAATTCCAAAATTTCTATATGTTTCACCAATGCAATATTTAACTCCTTTTTATGAATATTCTTTATAGAGTTGCATCATAGTTTTAATATACTCAGTTGGATATGTAATACATATTTCGATTCCACCTGTTATGCCACCTAAAATAAAATGAATAACAATAGTATTTACCTGAGATGATACCTCTTACTGGATCTTTGGAATCAACTTTAGCTCCACCCATTGATATGATTTTTATTATTATTTATGGATATATATATATCTTATTTTAATAATCTGTTCAAATAATTATATTAAAATGGCATCACTTAATAAATTAAGTAGCAATGAAATTGGTAATATTGATAGATAAATTGCTAAATTAAAGCAAGGATAAATATTAACAGAACAAGAAGTCAAGAGTTTATGCATCAAAGTTTTAATATATAGCAATTAATATAGGCAAAAGAAATATTATAAGATGAACCAAACATCATTTAAGTTAGAGCTCCCCTTACAATTTGTGGAGATATTCATGGTCAATTTCATGATCTCATTGAACTATTTTAAATTGGAGGAAACCTACCAGTATATTAATTTGCAAATCACTTTTAGGATACTAATTACTTATTTCTTGGAGATTATGTAGATAGAGGATCATAATCAGTTGAAACATTTTCATTGATGTTATCACTCAAAGTCAGATACAAGGATCGCATTGTATTATTGAGAGGTATATTGATTAATATTCTTAAAGGTAATCATGAAAATAGAGAAATTAATAAAATTTATGGATTTTATGATGAATGCTTTCGTAAATATGGTAATGAAATCGTTTGGAAATAATTTACAGAGGTTTTTGGTTATCTACCTATCTCTGCTATTGTGGAATAATAAGTAACAGCAAATTAAATTAAACTCAAAGATTTTTTGTGCACATGGAGGTTTATCACCTGCAATGGAATCTGTAGATCAAATTAAATAACTTAATAGAGTTTAAGATATTCCACATGAAGGATTAATGTGTGATTTATTATGGAGTGATCCTGAAGAAACAAAAAATGGTATTTAAATATAATTATACATTTAAGGATGGGGAATATCTCCAAGAGGTGCAGGTTGGACTTGGGGTTGTGATATTACAGAGAAATTCTTACACTCAAATAAATTGAAATAAATTGCCAGAGCTCATTAATTAGTTATGGAAGGAATATAAAAAGTTCATAATCAAAAGACTATTACTATATTCTCTGCTCCTAATTATTGTTATAGATGTGGTAATTAAGCATGTATCGTTGAGGTTGATGAATAACTTAAAATGAATTAGTATAATTAACTAATATTTAATTATAGAATATAATTTGAACCAGCACCAAGAGAAAATGAACCTCATACGACCAGAAGAGTACCTGATTATTTTCTTTGAAATATATAAATATGTTATATAATAAAATTTGCTATTTTAAAAGTTTATCTTTTACAAAATTCAGTAAAATATAGTAATTCTCCTTTTATATATACTCATTGAAGTTATTTAATCCATATTTTATAAAAATATTATTCGATTTTCTTCTATATTAAATAATAAATCTAACTCATATAAATCACAGAATATAAATTAATTCTAAGATATAAGTAAATTATAGAAACAAAATGTATTATTTCTAATCTTCTTTAGTGTTTAATACATCTTTATTATCAGATGATACACTTAATTGGGTTATGTAATCAATATACTTAAAAGTCTCCTTAAAAATTAAAGAAAAACTTCATTTAATTTAAGCTTTCCCATAATCAGATTTAATTTATTGATAAAGAGCCATATAATAGTTTTATAGAGTAAAAGGTAATATTCATAAGATGGAATGTTTATCTTGAAAGTAAACAATTAGAATGTAGAAGAAGGTAAAACTTATTTTAATAAAAGTATGTTTAAAAATCTAATCCATCATTTTTATATTACTTGGCTAAGCAATATTTGGTAAAGATTAAAACTTAATATTATTCAAACTTTTACAAGTATGTATTAATATAATTCAAGTTAGCAAAATCTTTTCAACTAGATTTCACAAGAGGTTTATTTTAAATAATTTCTAGATTCTCTAAATTCTATTGGCTAGAACAAGTATTGTACAACTTCACATTTCTAACTACTTCTTCTATATGAAGGACAGATGGTCGAGATTTCTTTTGTCGAATTTTTCTATTATGATCTAAAAATAGTACTTTTTAATTAGTAAACATTAGGAACTAACTCTACATTTTTTTGAACGATTTTCATATTCTAAGAATTATTCAGAAATGATCTATTATTGATTAGTATGAAATTCCAAAGGAGATAGGGGACACATGTTAATATCCAAATCATTAATCATAATATATGTTATTAATAAATATGTATATATTTAAATTACTTTATTAATAAATTCTATAATTCCTTACACTATTAAAATTAATCATAAATTATATTATCTATACCTAAAACTTTATCGTCAGTAATTTAATTTTGCACTTATAATCTCTATATGTTTATAAAATTATTTTTAATTAACTTTCTTAGAATCAACAAAAATATTAATTATATTAATTCTCTACATTTTCAGATTAATAGATATTTTTTATTTTAAAACCAAGTAATCTTATATATTAAATAATATCTATAAATTAATATAATAATTATCATCCATTATTATTATAAAGAATTCGAAAAATAATTATATGAAATCAATTCAAATTTTTGAACATATAATTTTTATGGCTAAGAATTCTTCAATAGTATTTCTCATTATTTAGTTTATTACTCTTAAGAAAAACATACACAAATTAATGGAATTGATTAATCATAATTCAATATTTTATTATTAATAATTTTTTGAGAATATCATTAAAAATATATTTAATTAGAAGATGTTTATTTTTCCCATTTAATAATTAAACCTAAACTTTATTAATTATATAATGTTAAGATTTATAAAAGTCAAATAGCTTCTAATCAACTCTATGTGACTATTCTTTTGCTCTTTAATAGTTTTGTAATGAAAGGCAAATATTAAGGTGTTGATATTTAACTATTGTTTTCAAGTATAGGAAAGTTATTAGAATTCAGTTTTGATGGAATCTATATAGGGAGTGTTGGCTATATTTATTAAGTTGTATTTATTTCATGTGTAATTTAATTAATTGGTGAAGTTCCATGAAGAGAATTGGCCCTTTTGCTAGATACAAATCTAAAAGATGAAGAAATTTTATTTTTAATTCCTTTTTATTAGAAGCTAGTTTTAGTATCTATAGATTAATTGGTTTTATTAGAGAATTCCCAATTTTAAATATTTAATTCTGGATATACTATAGGTTTTCTTTGATCTCTAACTAATTAATGTTAATTACTTTTATTCATCATAATAATAGGTTAAATCTTAATTTTTCTTGATACTGTTTAAGCTTTCATACGTTTTCTTTGAGAATCTCCATTATTAATAACAACTAAATTCTATTGGCTTAATTCTGCCTTCATTTAACTTTATAAATTTGCCAACTTATCTTTATCATAATCTTCAAATATTTCTGCATCTGATTGACTATCATTTTAATCATCAGATTCATGTTTTGCTTCAGTTTATTCAACTTTACTTGACATTTCATTTATGATTTTCATAAGTTAGTTTTATTCTAAAAATAATGATTATGTTTACTTAATTGTTTTGAATTTACTTATTTAAAATTAAAATATAAAAATAAGGTTTCTCCAATACATTGTCCAGCTTGTATCCAATCTTTTGAAATAAATTTAAATGATTTTCCCTTTTAATATCCACAAAATGAAGCCTCTATTGTATAACATAAAGCATCAATAAAACAATTAGCAAATGCTCTTGCTGTTCCCATTTTGAATTTTGGAATTCCAAATTCACAAGATTTATATCTAAAGGATTCCAGCCTTTGTTGAAGTATCAATGGAAATATTTTCGAATATAAGTTTGCATTATTGGATTATGGTCCATAAAGAAATATATTTTTTCTTACTTAATGTCCATGAAAGTCCAAATAGCCTATTAATTAAGTAGAATTGTCTTCAATTAAACTTTTTAAAGCTTTAACTTCTGGTAATAAGGTTAAATCAGTTTCTAAGAATTGTCTATTAAGATCAACTCCACTTAATCCATTTCTAAAATTACCAACAATCACACCATCTGGATTTAACATTGGAATAATTTTAAAAATGATACTTAAGTATAATTAAAAAAACTTTACTTTTTTTTTAAATATGATGCCATGAATGATTCACTTAATAAAAATTATATAAATCCTTACATCATAAATGAACTGCAAGTTTCAGAAGGATGAATTCGAGCAGTTACAATTATAATTTTTTTATTTTTATTGATGTTTTTATCTGTTATAACAAGTAAAGGTAAAACAAGACCAGAAAGTGTAGTTGTTAATTTTAATTTTGTTAAATATTATTTATATTTTTTATGCCATTTTTTAATTTTTCTTCTTAATTCAGTATATTTATATGGTGGAAGAGTGGCAAATTCAACTTCATCATCTACATATTCATATTAATATATGAAAGATAATACATAAAGTTCACCTACTTGATAATATTTAATAAATTCTCCTTATTATGTAAAATACTTTTAAGATCCTTTTTTTGATAAAATATAAGGTTTCATTCCTTTTGTATATAGACTTTAAGGTTTTGTAAAATTGCAGATATTAAATTTAATTTTATTGAGTTAGTTATTTGTAGTTTTGAAATAAAACCAATTACTATGACCGATAGAATTTGTATCAATTCTCATGAATAAATTATATTCTTCATTTGAAATCTATTTTAAAAATTAGAAATATTACATAATCTACACGATCTAAATTACCAGATTCAAAGGTAGAACTAAATTATATTCCTTATTTCAACATTCCTAGAAATGGTCTCAATATTTAAGGTTAAAATTCAAAATCATTTGAATTTTCTTTGTTTTCAATTAAATTGTGTATTTATTGTGTATTATAAAATGGTTATCCTAAAAATATAGTTGAATTATTAAATGTCAACTCAGAAACATTTAAAGTGAGGTTTCGATATTATTGTACAGTTTATGAATTGTATTGTTTTTTTTCCTCTTCTTTATTACGTCCTTCATAATAATCTAAGGTTCTGCATTTAGTTTTAAACTAATCAAGATATTCATCATCACTAGATGAATCGAAACCTTCTTTGGAACTGCATTGTTTAAGAATCATTTATATAAATTATCATATATAACAAATTTTTCATAAAAAGGTTTTAATTCTTTGATTTAAATGAACTTAGTTTCTACTAATATATGCATTGTAGCCCAAAAACAAGTTGGTTGACTAAAATAATTATTTTTTGATTTTTCTTCTAATTCTTCATATGAAACATTTTAATTCAAATTCACACATGCTTTAAAATTGATTTTATTAGCCTTTATAGATTTAAAAATGTTTTCAATTAATTCTAAATTTGTTGTAAATGAGTGAATATAATCTTAATCCTAATTTAAACTATCTTATAATAATAATCTAAGTATATGAATAGACAATTTATTTTCACATTCTTCAATTAATTATCTAAGTGCAGATGTTAAAGATAATGTTTCCATATATTAATTTAAAATAGCTTTATTTCTATTCATTTATAATTCTATTTTATATATAAATATATTATACTTTCTCTTATAATTTAAGATATCTATCTTAATAATTCTTCTTCCATATTTTTTTCAATTGTTTTTCTAATAAAAGTATCTAATTCAACTAGCTAATTCATTCTAAAATTATGTAATTCATAATGTTTAGTTATAAGTAATTCAAATAAAGAAATATTAAGTTTCATTTAAAATTTTGAATTGGTTCCTTTAATGAATTATTAATTTTCAGATTAATTGATAATTGATTAAATGTATTATCCAAATTAATCTAAAGGTATTTCGTCTATAATTTAATTCAATATTATTAATAAATTATCCAAAATCTTAATACATTCAAATACCCAATCTTCAAATGCTATCTAAAAACTTAAATCATAACATCTTTTAAATGATTATTCCAATATATCTTATTTATTAAAATCAAAACTTGCCAATTTCTCATTAATTGACTTTGTAGAATCTATCTAAAAATTAATATTTCCTTAAAGAAATTGACATTCATTTTTTACTATAATCTTGATTATAGTACTATAAGGTTCAAATGCAAGTTTTAATATTTAATCAAAATGTTTTGGTTATAAATAACCTTTATCTGAATATGATTATAAAATATTATAATAGGTTAAATAACCATATAAGAACTAATAATTAATAATAAATTAAATACTTCTAAATTTCTATTATATTAATTTTCAAAGTTGAAATACTGCTTAAATAGATTTTTATTAAAATATGATATTAAGTACTTCAAAAATTCAAAGAAAAATGATTAAAAATTATTCATATTTCTCAAATATTGTAATTCATTATCAGTAATTGAAATCATAAGATGAACTAACTCTTAAGCATCTTAAGTATTCAATAAATCATTTAAAGTTAATTATGATAGATCAATCACTTTTAATCTCTACTACAAATAAATACTGGATGCCCTTGATGAAATATCAAGTAAATCTAGTATTTCTAATTTTTATTATGATTATTTAGATGTGAATAATTCCTGATGACAATATTATTCAATCAAATTTACAATCTTTTCTATTTGTCCATATCTAGGACTCATTTTTGGTAATTGTAATAGGATTTTAAAAATTCTAATATTATTCTTGATATTCTCTAACAATTACTAAATATCATTATCTTCAATTATCTTTTAATATTATTCATATATCTAATCTAATTGCATTACAATTTCAAACATATCTAAACTGTCTCTAATATTTTTTTTGTATCTTAAACATTCATCCATTTTTTAATACAATTTATTATCTTATGATAAAAATGGCAAAGTTTGACTTATATATAAATCTTGGAGTTCTTTATAATCAATCAATTCTTTAAATAATTATTAAGTATCTTGAATAATTTAGTCTTGGTTTTAGTAAATTGATTTAGTTTCTTGAATAATTTATTCTTCTGAATCTGATTTCAATAATTGTAGTTGAAATGATAAATCAGTTAATTACATATCAATATCTTATGTACCTTATAGATGGGACTCAATAAATTTGATACAATCAAATTACTGTGACAATTATTCTTCCATTATATTTATTATTGTTTAGCCAATATTAAATTATTATTAATAGATGATTCTAATAATCTTTCTCTAACATATATTTATTTCAAAACTTATTAAATATCATATGATTTCAAATATTAGATAATGAAAAATATAATTCCATTTTTTAATGAATTTACCCTGAAACACAATAATGGATGATTGATTAGAATATTAAATATATTTATTATTAAATAATTATGGATTAAAAACACGATCATGCAAATCAAATTCTTAGTTTATTAGAGAATAATGAATCTATTAATTCCTTATAAATTTCATAGACAACAGGTGTCAATCATCAAGAATTGGTTGGATATCTATTATAATTAGAAGCCGCTAATTATATTATTACTGAAGTAAGATAATGATAATAATATATAGGGTTTAAAAAAAGATTAGTTAGTTTTGACAGAAGAAGGAAATACTATATTAAATTCATAATCTGGGGAATATGAGATTTATTAAAAAGTACCTGAAGGTGGAATATAAATGGTAGATTTATAAAAATAATTTGGTATTGAACAAGCACCAAAGTAGAAATAAGAATAAGGAGAGAAAAAAGAAAAATAAGCAGAAGATCCTAAGAAAAAATTATTTGATTTAGGTTTTGGAAATGCAAAAAAAATGGGATATATTAAAATGGACAAAGGAATAATAAGTAAAGTAGCAAATGATTTGCCTGATAAAATAAAATAAGAATTACAATAATTTAATGAAATTAAATTAGGATCACCATAAGCAAAATTATTAATTGAAAGAAAATTAGCTAGCATATCTACTATAAAATATTTTGAAGTAAAAAAGGGTGTTAAATACAGTCCTAAATTTAGAGAATAATTTGCAGCTTTAACAACAGAATAATTATTAAATGGAGAATGGAAAGATTGTGATTATAAAAGTATTAATCTAAATGCAGAAGGTGAAAAAAGTAATTAATAAATTTATATGATTAGTTTCAATGGGTAATTTACATCCACTTTTGAAAGTTAGGAAATAATTTTCATAAATTTTAATTGGATTAGGATTTGAAGAAATGGCAACAAATTAATTTGTTGAATCTTCATTTTGGAATTTTGATGCTTTATTTTAACCATAAAAACATCCAGCAAGAGATGCACATGATACTTTCTTTTGTAGTGATCCAGAACTTAGTGAAGAAGTAGATACTTAATTAAGAGATAAAGTAAAATCTATGCATTAGACAGGAGGTGTAGGTAGTATTGGATATCAATATGAATGGTCACATGAAGAAGCAAGAAAAAATATATTAAGAACACATACAACAGCTGTCTCATCTAAAATGTTATATAGAATTGCATAATAATATAAAGAAAAAGGTTATTTCCCAAAGAAATACTTTAGTATAGATAAAGTATTTAGAAATGAAACTTTAGATGCAACTCATTTAGCTGAATTTCATTAAATTGAAGGAGTTGTGATTGATAAAAATGCTTCATTAGGATAATTAATGGGAATTATCAGAGAATTTTTTAGATAAATAGGTATTAACAAGTTGTGGTTTAAACCAACTTATAATCCATATACTGAACCAAGTATGGAAATTTATGGTAATTAATTATCAATATTATAGGATATCATCCTATTTTAAAAAAGAAAGTTGAAATTGGTAATTCTGGTGTTTTTAGACCTGAAATGTTAGCACCATTAGGTATTCCCGAAGATGTAAATGTTATTGCATGGGGTTTGGGATTAGAAAGACCAACTATGATTTATTATGATATTAGAGATATAAGAACTATGGTAGGACCAGAAGTTAAAGTAGAAACAGTTAGATCAAATGCATTCTGTGTTTTTGAAAGTAAATGATTTAATCAAAATTATTAATTTGAATATATATATATATATTCATATATTATTCATGAACATCTTGATTTCTATTTTAATTTCAATCCTTTATCTTCTATTTACAATTTGCTTATTTTACTCTCATTTTTTTTCAATTATAATTCTACTAAATCTCTCCTAATAATTTCATCAACTATTGTTTCAAACACATTCTTTAAACCTTAATTATCATATGCTGAACATTATACTCCATCAAAGAAACCAAAAGTTTAACAAAATTATTACAGAAATTATTATGAATTTTATTCATCATATTGTTATATCAAATCCATTTTATTTTAAACAATCAAGAACGGAATATGTCTTCCATTATATTCATCAACGTATTAATAAACTATATTTTACCATTTTACCAATTGTTATCTACTCATTTCATTTGTAGCATCAAATACAAATATGATTCCTAAAGCTCCTTTCAAATATATTTTCATTAAAGGAGATTCTCTTTCAGCCCCAGATATATCCCATATTTACAATTTTAAGAATTTTCCATTCAAAAGAACCCTCTTTAACACATAATCACAACCAATTGTGAAATCTGCTGTTGCCTGGGGAGCCAATCCAAAACAATAAGAATTTAGAATTTGTGTTTTTCCAACCCCACTTTCTCCAACTATAACTAGTTTAATATAATTTTATTCCATATTAAATCACAATTACAAATTTTGATTAATAAACCTTATCTAATTCAAATATTCTTGAAATTCTTTTTTCTAATATATACTCAAAGTATAGAACTATGATAAATTATTAATATTCCAATCTAACAATAAATATGAATATCTCTATTCTAATACATATAAATTATTCTTCTAATATAAATAATATATACATGTTTATTATTTCTTTTAATTATAAAACATGATTTTAATATTATCTTTTCATTTATTCCATTTTTAATCCTTCAATAAATCTATAAATCACATACTTATAGTTGATATAGTATTTGATTAAATTATCAGATTATTATATCAGCTTCATAAAAAAAACTTAAACTTAATCAATAAATTATAAAATAATATAGATGAATTAAAGAATTAAATAATAATAAATAGAATAAATAAAAAGTTATATATACTAATGGAATAAATAAAGAATTCTTTTATGATAATTATATTCTTTCAATCAAATAGCATACTTAAAAATTTTTTAAACATCCTGTTTTTATGAGATGATATTTAACTATAATTGTCCAGCTTTATCAACAACTTCCATTTTTGGATAAACACCACATCCGAATTCTACAAATACTTGATCATTAGTATCCAAAACTTTGTTTACACCTTGAGTTGTCATTACTAAATTTCGATCCTATTTGATAATTTAAAAATAATTACTTTATTTGACATAGAGATTACAGAATAATTTACATAATCTTATGCAACAATCATTTCAACAATAGGCCCATTAGTTATTTACCATGATGCCAAATTTTCACCAGTATTAATATCAAACTCTCTAATCTTACCATCTTTTCCTCCAGTAATTATTTTAGTCTACAAATTATAATATAATATTATTATACATTATTTTATATTTAAACAACATTCAAAGCACAAACAAGTGTATGATTTTTTATAGATCTTTCTAATTATGCTGATTAAAATTATCCTTAAGCATTTTTTAATATTTTCCAAACATTTATAGTTTAATCCAATCCTCCAGAAATAAATCTTCCTTTTGCTAAAGTTAAACAAGTTACAGCATTTTTATGATCATCCAATCTTTAAATTGGTTTCTAATTATCTATATTCCAAATCAATAATGATTAATCATATGATCCACTAACAAGAGTTTATCCATCATCTAATGATAATAATGCAACTACAGCTGCTTAATGTGCAATTAAAGTATTATGTTCTTTCAAAGTTGATAAATTCCAGATTTTAATTGATTTATCTCCATTGTCACTTCCAGATGCTAAAAAGAAAGGCACATTATTAGCTTTAATTACAGTTAATGTACAAACTCCATCAGTATGACCTTTCAATTAAGATATCAGAGAAGAATTATCCCAAATATTAATAATTGTATCTTTAGATCCAGTAGCAATTAAGTTGTCTTTAATATTTGTAAAACATAGTATCATTCCATTATGTCTAATATCTTATGATTAAATTTCTTGTAATTCAGAGATTTTCCCTTATATTGTATGAGAATTTATAAAATGATTTTGTAATTAAATGATGGGAGACTACTATATTGTCTATGAAGATAGATTAAATTAATTCATTTAATTTTCAAAATTTAATGTTAATTTTGGTTCCTATATATTTAAATATGGATTAGATTTAATAGCTGATTATGGAAGTGATTAAGTTTCTAGATTAAGTTTACTTTTCATTTCTTGATTTATTTATTTCTATTAACTTTATTCCATAAAATCTAAAGGTAATATATAGTCAGTCATGTCACCAAACTTTGTTATTAATCTTTCTTCTACTTCTTATTTTATAATATTAAGTTATCTTAATGTTGCTTCTGAATGATAAAAATCACTATTTTGACTTGTCAATTATAATAATTCCTTTGATATTATTTGTATTTATTCAACTCTTTATTTAGCCAAATTGCTTATGTATGCATTAACTTTACTAACATAATTTTAATATTTCATTTCTTCCAATTCTCTAATTAGATTAGCATTAGAACAATCTCCAAAATTATTTGAGGGTGGAGGAGGTACTAAATTCAGAGGTGCTTCCAATTTAGTTTTTTTGAATTGAATAACTTCATCCTTAAAAGCAGCATAAACACTTAAATATCTTTTATAATGTTCATCTACAAATTGTTACATCTAAACTCCAAGATCTTCAATCATATTTGAAATCTCACTCTTAATAAAACTTATGTCTTTTTTGATTTTATCCTTTTCTCTATCTACTCTTTTTTTAAATCTTTCTAAATGATTTTTTTCTTCAGATAACAGAAATAGTATTTCTTAAGGTAAAAAGTCTTAATCCATTTCAAATACTTTAGGCAACATAGTAAATGTACTATTTAAATCAGTTACTGGATATTAAGGTTAAAAGTTGTAATCAGATCTTTACTTTGGAATTGTTTGTTATGGTTGGCAAATTTCTCCTTAACCAAATGAAATCCTTTAGTTTTGAAAT